TATCTGTCATTGCAGCACTTGGGAGGCTAAGGCAGGAAGATTGCTGTGAGTTCAAGGCCAGCCTGGGCTACATAGTGATTTCAAGTTCAGGCTGAACTACACAGTGAGACCCTATCTCCAAAAAACAAAAAAATGTGGCTGTGGAGATTGAGTCTAGGGCCTTGCATATGCTAAGCACATGCTATACCACTGAACTACCTCTAGCCCTAGGCCTGTTTTTTTTTAGTGTTGAAACTTTGTAATTTCTGTTCACACCAAAGTATTAAAATCTTGTAATATCTGTTCACATTAATGAGTGTTTAATTCTATAAAAATGATACCATAAAATAATCTGAGAATCCCATTTAGGCTAATTTACGAAATACATAGTGTATGTTTATTTGTACTTAGTATAGCTGAAACTTACACTTTTTATGAATAATTATATATTCTTCTTTTTAATATAATTCTTTGTACTACATTAGTACTTTACTAGAAACTCATCTTTTTAAGAAATGATGCAAGATGAGCAACTTCTATCTTAAATTATTTTTTTAGCTGATTTCAGTAGTATAGGTAACTGATTTCTATTGCAAACCCAGTTCTATGCTCTTATTCTTCAAATATGAAGCTATGGATCTTTAGTTCTTTTGTTTCAAACGCATGGATAAGCATAAGTGGTCTGTTAACAGGCCTTTTTTTTTTCATTGCGTTTATATCATTGACCTTTGCTTCAGAAAGCATTCAACAGTGTTTCATAGAGGGAGCCCATGAAAGGGGGTGTTGTAAAGCCTTTATTCTATAAAAGAAGTCATACAGGCAAGCTTTATGTTTGCTGAGTGACTTAAATCTTATACATGCAGAAACTGGCCATGGGCCATGAGTAACATGAGGGAAAAGCACTTCTAGTCCAGCCTGACAGCCAAACCTGCCCACTTTGTTCTTTATATATTTTTCTTTATTTATTTTTCTTTATATATTTTTAAAGAGAGAAAAGCACCTCCTTCCCTGTTATTTTAAACTATTCAGGAAAGAATGAAGCACCGTATCTAGATTCAGTCAACAGCTTTATTGGGATTCATGAAGTTACTCTTGATTTTTTTTAAATTAGTAATTAAAGAATAGATTCTCCAGGGAGAAATATGCCTGCTTACATCAGTCTTTTGGTACCTGGAACAGAGTTATAAAGGGAAAATTCCTGTGTAGGGATAGCAACTCTTTTGAGAATACTGGCTACATTATGGCTATGAGATATTAAGTGATTCTGTATTCCAAGATAATTCTTTTCTTGTAGATGGTGGATTAGGCAGACATCACCATCAGAAGTAACTATACTTTTGTTTGTGGAATAATCTTTAGATTATTCTTTAGAGGAAGGAAGAGCAAGCATGTTTTAACATTTTAAAAGCCTTGAAAATTGGCTAATGAAGTGTTAGCTATTCTTTAAAAGGTATATTATATTCTTTGTAATTTTCTGATAGTATAAAGGGACTTAACTAACTTATTCCTTCTGGTTGAATCATGAGATATTTCTCAACTTCATATTTGATGAATATAGATTTAGTTTGTTAGATCTTTTAGTTCATTGTGGGTAAGATATGCATATACATGTACATGGTGTTTCTTTTCTGTTTTGCAAAGTTACTCTTAAGAGATATGCATGGTAAATTTCTGTTGCATTTAAAAACAATGCTCATCTTTTATATGACCAATGTAAGTTCAATTAAGCTTTAATTAACTTGAACATCAAAATATCTGGGCTTTTATCTCTGAAATACTTGGACTTTGTTGGGTGGCAGCTGCTCTTCAAGCAGTAAGATTGCTCAGCCTTTATTAGCAATGAAAAGAGAGACAAGGCTTTGTTCTGAACAATCTAGAAACAGTTTCACTGAAGTCAGAACTGCATGTATGGTGAATTGTGATGCTTGGGATATAAAGAATGATAATGGGAAAAGATTGGCTTTATATAAATAAACATGACTCACCAGCTGTGGTTAGTAACTTTATCCTTTCTGAGTTCTTTCAATAATAAAGTGAAGATTAGAACTTCTACCTAGTAGAATTGCCTTATGGATGAGAGAAAATATATATTTATTGACACAAGCCTTCAACGGATGAGACATTGTTTTTATTATTATTTTTAATCATTGTCCTGTTCCTGCTTCCAGATGCCTTAATTTTCCATTTTCTTATTTATTTGTATTTTTTACTAGTATACATTTGCAGTACATAATGTTTATATTCCTTTTGTAGAATTGGTACATGTACATAACACATCTTAATTCCATTTTCTAGCCTCTTCTCCTCTCTCCCCCTCCGTCTTGAGTCTCTTCCCATTTGAGAAAGATCTGTTGTCCTAGTTTCTATTACCTATCTTTTATTTTGCTCTTTATTTATATGTTGGGTTTCTCCTATAAGAGAAACCATGTAATATTTAAGCTTGTGTGTCTCATATATTTCACTTAACATTATGATCTCAAGGTACATCCATTTTTCTACAAATGGCTGAAATTTATTTTTCTTTATGGCAAAGTAGTACTCCATTGTGTATAAATACCACATTTTTCTCCCTACTACTTTTCCTCTTTTTTTTCTTAAATTCTTTTATTGGTACATTTTAGGTATACAATACATTTACATTTATCATTGGGTGCTTGTACCTGTACATGATGTATCTTGGTTCTTATCTTTTCCCCATTACCTGTACGCTCTTCACCCCCTCCACCCTTCCCTATTTACATAGACTTCATTTCCATTTTTTTCTTTTCTCATAATTTTTTCTTTCCCTTCTTCTTCTCCTTTTTGACATTTTTTGAGATATTATAGAGAACTACAATAAGTGGAAGACAGAAGTAAAATTCAATTCTAATTACTCAAAATAAATTTTTAGAGGTAAAAGGCAAAACTTTCATTATTTATCCCAGGGAATAATGAATAGAGGCACATCTGAAATAGTCAAAAAATATATTTAGGTTTATATACTACAAGTAGAACACACATAGTTAAAAATTGCACCACTCCCATTTTTCAAAATTCAACCCAGAGTTCCACTAACTCTCAAATTTAGAAATTCTATTACAGATATATAAACAGAGAAGGTAATAGGCAATTGGTTTAATTGATGTGTGTAAGTATTAGTTTTAGGTTGGATTCCTGAACTAAAATGGACAGCTCCACAAGGGCTCATTATTAAGCAACTGAATGTCTAGGAAAAATTATGTTAAAAAGCTGTTTTACCTTAAATTGTCCCCCATCCAGTATGACTGGTGCCAAAATCTATTCAGAAGTGCAAAATTTAGAGGTTGAAATTGAGCATATAAACAAGGGTCACAGGGCTAGAACTCAGTGGTAGAGTACTTGTCTAATATGCATAAGGCCCTGGGTTCCAGCCCCAGCTATGTAAAAAATACATGAAATAAATAAAGTTGAATATAATTTCAGTGTGGCTAGTGAGGCCTAACTAGCCCAGCCCTAAGTTGTTGCGTTGTTTTTTTTTAAAGGGACACTCTATTGGGAAAAAAAATTTGGTTTTTCTCAAAACTGTAGTATTAGTGTTGTCCTTTATCCCACCCCCCCCTTCCAGTGCTTACTTCTCAAATTTAGTTTGTGATCTTTTCTGTTTGTTTGCTTGTTTTATCTTTGCAGTACTGGGGATTGAATCTAGTGCCTTTGCATTGAGCTACATCCTCAGATCTTTTTTATTTTTTTGAGGCAGGGTCTTGTTATATTGCCCGGATGGGACTCAAACTTTCCATCCTCTTGTCTCAACCTCATAAAGTGCTATTTGGACTTATAGGCATATGCCTCACCCCCAGCTTAGTTTGTGTATTTATTATTTGTCAAACATTCATTAAGTGCCTACAACAAACTTGGCATAAACTTTATATCCTTTCTGTAGATATTAAGATGTCTAAGCTATGGTCCCTGGAAACTTACTTAGTAAGGTATATGACATGAAAAAGATTATAACACTGTATAGTCCTTATAATTGTGATGGATCTTAAAGATAGAAAACTATGATATGGCCTTTGCTTCAGAACATTTACAATCTGATTAGGAAAACAAAACATACACATTAAAAGAATATAGAACAACACAAGTCTGACAGAGAATATGAAGTCAGGAAGCCAAAAGATCTCTGGACCAGATAGAGCAAAGTTTCAAGGAAAAAGAGCCTTGAAAGCTTAAAAAATATTAGCAGTGAAGAGAAGGAAAGACATTATATTAGGACTAATCATAGGAAAAATAACAATACCAAGAAACATTTGAAAGAAAAATAAACAAATTGGTAATTTATTGGGTATGAATGAATGGTCATAAGAGTATAGAATAGAGAGGGGAATTGAAAATAGCACCTAAGGTTTAATGATTGGAAAGAAATGATATCATCATTATAATGATATCTAAGAAGAGAAAATTCTAAGTAAGAATAGGTGGAGTACTAAATATAATATTTTCCTTTACTAGAATTTTTATATGGATTTAGAGATCTTCATTTTGCCATATTTAGCTTAGCTATCACAATTGATTTAAATATATCCTAGGCTCAACATAAGGAATAATATCAAGTTTTTATGAGTTGGCACATTCATTAAGATTTTGGTCTTCATATTCTTCAGCCAGAAGCTTGGTGAGGGCTAGGTAATATTTCTTCTTTTCTCCAAATTGGAATGGATGCTGATAAAATGGTGGGATAATTCAGGAAAGAAATATGACATGAGTTCTATGCCCCCATGCTAAATAAATTAAAAAGGATTTCTAAGCATTGAGAAAGTCTATTTCCCACAAATCTTTTATCATTTATTTTAAACTACCAAAGTACAGAGGATTAAATAGTTGCAAAGATTAGTATTAGTGCCATGTTAGCTGAATTACATAGTCATGAAGCTTTTCAGCTTCCAATTTAAATAAAAATCATTCCTATTTCTAGTAACTAGAATTTAGTTGAAACCCTTTGCTACATTAGGATCATCTCTAATCAAACTGATTTGCTTTTGTTCACTTTTTGCTTTTGTTTGCAGTTCGGGGAATTGCCAGTGCAGAGTGGGCGTCACCGGCTTTACATGTAATCAATGCCAAGATGGATATTATGGCTTTAATAAGAATGGTTGCTTGCCCTGCCAGTGTAATAATCGGTCAGCCAGTTGTGATGCACGCACAGGTATGTTTTTCCTTAATTTTGTCAGTAATTATTCTGTTGTTCTTTTCATTTTAGTCTTTTAGTATATGTCAGTTCTTCTCAAATAGTTATAAGGGTCTGGGTTCAATTCCTGGTACATGAACTAAAGCATGTAGCAAAAATGTAGTGGCAAGAACAGACCAAAAAAGACATGTGGAACATATCCAAAAGATCTAACAATGTAATGGAAGACCCAGAAAGGGAAGAAAGAGATATTAGGTAAGAGCAATATATGGAGAGATGATGGCCAACAATTTTCCTAACTGATGAAAGACATAAACCTACAGGTTCAGAAAGCTCAGCAAGGCTCCATCAACATCAAAACAAAGAAAACCACATATAGGCAAATTTAAAAATAAAGACAATTAACTTCTAATCTTCAATTCCTGAATGTAAAATTAGAAATATTTCCTTGAAGATCTTTTTTCACCAACCAAAAAATCAGAATACCCTAGTTTCATAGGCACATGTGTTTTTATGAGAGCAGAGTAGTAGAATATTTGAAATTTAAAGTATTCTGAAAAAAGAATCTGTGTTGAAAGCTTACTCTTCCTTCTAATCTTCTCTCTAGTGAAGCATATGTAGGGAAATTGATTTAGAATAAATTGTAGGGTTTTTCCTTTTATGTGATCTGGTCCCTGCCAAATTGCCAATTATACCTTGTGCTATTCCTTTTTTACTGTCTGATTCAGGCACTCTTGTCTTTTGTATCTAAAATAAGCTTTGTTTCTGTCTCAGGGTTTTCTTTCCTGATCTTTCCTCTGCCTACATTGGTCTTTCTAACATATCTGTAGCCCCACCCAAGGCCCTTTGGATTTTTAAGTCATATTCTTCCTTCAGGTCTTCAGTTAAAGATCACTTCATTAGAAATCATTTCCTGATGATTAGAAATTGTTTCCATGCTAAATGAAAATTCCTGTGATCTCATATCCATTTGTATTTTTTCATGGCACCTATCACAGTTATTAATTATATTTATTTGTGGATATGAGTCACACATGGGTGACTCACTGCATCTTAAGTTCCAGGAGGGCAGGAACAATATCAGTTTTGTTCACCAATGTATGTCCAATCTCTGACATGAATTTGGACAAAAGTAAATATGCACTGAATGTTTGTTGAGTAGTGAACAAATGAATGGTAAAACATACGAAGAAAGATGAGGTTTGATACTGGGAAATGATAGGAATGCTTCATCATACTGAATAAATTTCAATAGCTCCCTAGATCCTTTATAGTACTAGAAAGCTGTAGACATTGCAGGTTCTTTTTTTTATTTTTCCTTGCAGCAGTAAAACACTTCTTACTATTAAGTAAATGCCAACCTGTGCTTGCTCTAGAGATAATTTAAGACAAAAAGAAATTCTTTTCATTGTTGTGATTTCTAAACGCAGCTAGTTATATGAGAAACAAATGCCTTCTATGTTTGGAAATATAATAAAAGTAGAACCCAACATGAAGGAGTGCAAATACTTAATTTAAAACTGCAAGTCTTACGTAAATTCAGTCTTTCCTTTTTCCCAAGAGATGTTTTTCAACAATGCTGTGATATGGTTGCCCTCTGGTGGCCATTCATAGGCCTTATTTTCCCCTTTCTAGACATTCTATTAAATTTTTTTTTTTAGATTGAAGTTGATTTTCAAAGTATTCTTTTTGTAGTAAAATATATTGGGGAATACATTATAGATAGCAATTTGATAGTAAATATCAGAAATCCTAGGAAATGCTCCTAGGAAACAGCTATTCTGTTTCCAGGAATCTATTCTGAGAATAACCTTCCTAGTAAGTTGTTGTGAAGATTAAATGCAGTACATTTGTGCAGCTCTAATAGCATGCCTGGCTCATTATACTGTCAGTAAATGGTAACTGTTAATATGATGTCATTAATTTTTATTTTAAATCTTAATTAACTAATTGTACTGGGGATTGAATCCAGAGCCTTGCACATGCTAAGTTAGCACTCTGCCACTGAGCTACATCCCCAGTCCCATTAAAATGTTGTAAAGAATGATGTAAAACAACATGAGAGGATAAAAGAAACAGGGTATAAAATGGCATGCACCACATAACTAGACTGTTTAAATAACAAAACCCAAATCTCTATAAATAAGGAAAGATTTCAAGGAAACATTTTCAAAATCTTAATGAGAGATTTCTTCAGATAATTTTCTTTCTCTTCACTTCTGTGTTTTTTGGATTTCTTTATTGAGTACATTTTTCTTAAAGCAGAGATGAAAGAGCGTCTATTGTTTTTTAATCTAGAACTTTATGGTTATATGGTATACTTCTTTTTAAGAATTCAAGGCACCTTTGTGTATTCATAGTGTCCCATGTAAGTAACTTGACCTTGGCAGCTTGACTAAATTGATTGTTCCTTTGCTCCTTAATGACTTTTTTCACTTTGGGAAAGCATACTTTCCTGCTCTTTTGTCTACTTAACTAGTTTTCCCTCCCTGATCAGTTCTCCTGGATCTTCCTCAGCTCTGCTATAAGCACTGGCATGCCCCAGAGCTCAGAGCTTGACAAGTTTGCCTTCTCCATTTATATTGCCCCCTAAGTGGTCTCATTCAGTCCCCTAGATTTAATTTAAATGCTTTAGATTTACATTTCCCCCTTAATTCCTACAAAAATCCAGCAGACCACTTCATTTGAATGCTCGAATTGGCCTTATAAACGTAATATATCTAAAATTACTATTTTACCCTAAGAGCTAAGCCTGCTCTACCCCTAGTGTCCTTCATTTTAGTAACTAGTATCATTCACCCCACTGCTCAGTTCCAAAGCCTCGGAGTTCTATTTGATTTCTCTATCTATCTTACTGTAAATATCCGGCCCATTATCAAGTTCTATTAGCTTCAGAATAAATCCTGAATCTGACTTTGTTCATGACCTTTGTTCCATTGTCCTTGTCCAAGCCACGTCATCTCTTTGAACTACTTGGGCACTCTCTCATCTGGCCTTTCTGCCTCCTGTCTGTTTCTCTGTCCCCTGACTCCATCCCATCACAGTTCAGTTTGAACATAACTAGAATGATCTTTTAAAAATGTAAAACCAGATCAAGGCATCCCATGATCTGCCCTCCCATCCCTCTTGGAATAAAATTCAAACTTCTTTTCATGGCCTAAGTGATTTTATATGTCTCTGGCCCCTGCCTTTTTCCTTGATATTATCTCCTGTTTCTCTCTCCCTTATTCACCTACAGTCCATTCCAGTCTTCTTTCTGTTTGACAGATTTAAGTTTGCCTTCTGTCCTAGAAGTGATCAGATATTTCTTCCTACGATAAAGTACATTGCTGATAGGATTATGTATAAACTATGAAATGGCAAAATAAGGAATAAGGAAAAGCCTTTTACAGGTGCTAAGTTATGTTCTCAACATTTTGTCTTTGAATTTGGTTGCAAAGGAACCCTACATTTCTTTCTTTGACCAATTATTTTCTTGGTTACCCCTACCAGATTTTTGAGATGCTTAGCCAAGGAGTATGAAATCATTTTCAGGAAACACTCATTATTATTCCTCCTTCTTATTCCTCCTTTCGTTTTTATTTATTTTTTGGTGATCTACTCTTTAACCATCTTTCAGCAAAGAGAATGTGATTTTTAGATGTTATTATTAAATTTCCATGGAAGGGGAGTCCCATGGAGAACATAATGAACAACATTAAACTGCAGCGAATTTTATGTCATTTATTATGAAAGAAAGTCCCTCAAAACTAGATTTCAAAGAGACTTAAAGCTCATCTAGTTTAGCTTTCTTAACTTATACATGAGTAAAATAAGACATAAAGGGAAAACATTATATTCTATGAAATAGTCTTTTACCCTTTGAAATAGTCACATTACATTAAAACATTTCCCAAAGAATAATTTTCCCATTTTACAGATTGGAAAAATGAAACTCAGCAAAGCTATTTGTTTAAGATCACATAGCTGGTGAGAGGGTCAGCTGGGAACAGAACTCAGATCTAATGCTCAGCCTCATACCATGTTTCTTATGCTATTCTTATGCCTCATACCATGTTTCTTATGCTATACGGCCACTTAGAGGAGTTGTAAGCTATGAGAAAAGCAAAAAAGGAGATAAGAGATCTTTTTTTCTTTTTGAAAACTACATCTTTAGTTCATATTAGAAAAGTGAATTTATATTAGTTCCTACTATACATGGATTTATTTTTCTACGTGAAATGTTTTTAAATTGCTTGTACTTTTGAAATATTTTACAATATACATTTGTTTTAGCTTTCTTTTGTAACAAAATACCTGAGATAATTAACTAGCATGGGGGAAAGTTTTTTTTTTTTGAGATAGGATCTGGCTATGTAGTCCAGGCTGACCTTAAACTTTCAACCATCTTCCTGGCTTGGCCTCCCAAGTGCTGGGATTTCAGGTGTGCACCACTGCACCCAGCTCTGAGAGATTTATTCTGACTTACAGTTTTAGATGTTTCAGTGCATGGTCACTTGACCCTGTCATTTTGGCCCTATGCTAAGGCAGAACATCATGAAAGGGTGTGTGTGGCACTGTAAAAGCTGCTTACCTCATGGTGACCAAGAAGGAGAAGTGTGAGGGGAAGGAGCTGGAGTCCCAGTACACCCTTTAAGGGCACACCCCCAGCGACCCACTTCCTCCAAGTAGGTCCTGCCTCCTGGTGTTTCTGCCACTTCCCGACAACACTATCAGCTGGGCAGCACACTTTCAATACCTGAGTTTTAGCGGGACAGTGAAGGTCAAACCATAATGACATGTGATGTAGTTTTAATGTATTAATTTTATAATTAAAAAATCAAGATAATAAAAATAAGTGATGCATGTATACTAGAGATAATTCGAAAATCAGAGAGGGGAAAAACATTGAAAGAACTATTGCCCTTCACAACTGTTATTAACATTCTGATATAGTGATATCTGATCTGTCTTTATTAATATTCATTTTCGTATAGCTGTATTCCAGGTACATGCTATCTTTAAAGCAAGTGAAAGGTAATGAGTATTTAAGAACTGATGAGTTTTCTTCTTACATTTGCTTTCATTTTTACTTTTAAGAACATACTTACTCTGCAAGTTTTGTTGTTGTTTGTTTGCTTTACTGACTTGTCATTATAAGGTATGGTAGAAAACAAATTGAAATAGGAAGTTCTTCTGGAAAAAATTTATTCTAATATAAATAGTTTAAGAGAATGAAATTATATGGTGATAATCTTAAAGGCCTAGGATCTTATCTAGAGTAGTTAAAAACCCCCAAATAATAAGCATGTAGGTTCATTAACATTATAAGAACTAAAGTATTAAAATATGTATATATTACTATTTTTAAGTAAGGGGGCCAACATGACCCTTTCTTGTCACATCATATATAAAGGGCTTATTATTGGAACCTATCTTACTTACCCTAGACAACCAAAATCTGTTCCAGGGATGTTTACCTTTTTTGAGATATTTTTCCATTAAATTTTAACATTTTATCAGAATTGTTTCTTTTAAAAATTATTTCCGTCAAACACTTTAATAGAGGAAGAACAGCTAGACTGATTTTGCACATAATACAAGTTTTGAGTTTTCTTAAATATCTGCAGAATGCTGTGATATTTAAGATTGTTTTATTTTTAGAGCCAAAATCCATTTTCCCAGGATGTACTTTTCAGCTTTTTTTTACTGTCACAAAGTCAATAGCTAAAGGATAGGGATATAAGAAGATCTGGGGAAAAAAATAACTAGAGTATTCAATGTTATATGAATATATACCACTTTGTTATATATGTGCAAAATATTAACACTGTCAAGTATTAAAGATTATATGTTTAGAGTGATGATATTCACATGAAAGATTGGTTTAAATCAGTGATATGTTCTGACAATAAACTTTTAGTGATTTGAAGTAAGTTCATGAAATTTTGGGGAATTCTGTGTAATCGCCTAAAAAATTAAGATTTTTAACATGTGTGTTAATAATTTTTTTGCTTGTTTTTTCAAATCTTGTTCTAGTTATTTCACAACCTCATTCTCCCTTAATTTTGTCGTGGTATTTCTAAATGTCCCTTTGAATCTCTGTAGCCCCCCCCAAAAGAAGGAATGCGAAATATGCTACGTATCTTAGTTTCTCTTTTCAGATGTTATGCTTCTTCAGTGTCTGTAGAACATCCTTATTAACAGAGTCTCAAAGGAGTTAGTACTACAAAATACAATTTTGCTTGCCTACTTCCTTTTCATTTTCTTTAATTGTTTTATTTTATTTTCATTTTTTTTTTTTTTTTTTTTTGGTACTGGGGATCGAACTCGGGTCCTAGCTGTTTTATTTTATTTTGAAATTTTAAATATAAAAATCTGTCAAGACTAATACAGTGAGTACCCATATACTCACACTCAAAAATAATAAATATTAACATTTTACATTTTGATTTATATTTATACATATATATGTATGGCTATATATTTGAAATAGCAGATTTAAAATAAAGTTAGAATTCTCTTTGTTTCCCTCCTTAGTCTCATTTTTCTCCTTTCTTCTGGAGATAAGCTGTCTTAGTTACTTTCCTGATTGCTGAGACAAAATACCAGACACTCAAAGTTAAAAGAGGAAAGATTTATTTCAGCTCACAGTTTGTAGAGGTTTCAGTACAAAGTCCGCTGTCTCCAAGTCACTGCGGCATGGCTTAAGGACATGGCAGAGGAGAAACAGTCCACAGCAAGGCAGGATAGGGAGAAGCAAGAAGCAGCAAGCAAGCCTGCCTTCCCTCTTTCCCTTTATATTCTATCCAGGCTATAAACCTGTTGAATGGTGCCACCTACACCCAGGTGGGCCTTCCCATTATCCACACCTAGAACTATACTAAACCAATCAGTGGACTAATTTAGCACCACACACCCTTAATTCCAGTATCACACACCCATGATCCAGCCAGCTCTAAAAATCTCTACCTATGAGTGCATAAGGTTCTGAGGGACATCTAGATACAAGCCATAACACTAGCATAGGATGAAATTCCCCTATACCCTCTCAGTCCACATTTAATTTTTTACTATATAAAGTTGTGACAAAAAAATGTAGTGGATATTTAATTTTGAAAACATTACATTAAAAGACACATTGCCATTGATGCCCCATAAAATATTTCCCATTGCTTCAAACACATATATCCCATTGTTCTTGCTACTTTCTGAAGCAGTTCTGAAAGTCCTCTTTTATGAGTATCTTTAATTGTGCTGTCACGGTTGCCTTGATGTTCTGAAAACATTCAAAACTTTTACCTTTCATGATCATTTTGACTTTGGGGAAGAGTCAGAAGTCACATTGTACTAGATCTGATGAATAAGGTGGATAAGGACAGACCATAATGTTTTTATCAGCCTACCTTTCCATTGGATGGCACTTGACAGCCACATTCACCATATTCTTGATCACACCTCTTAAAAACACATGTAAAAGAGGACTTACAGAACTGCTTCAGCAAGTTACAAGAATGATGGAATGAAGTGTGTTTAAAGCAATGGAGAGTATTTTGAGAAGAATTAATGGCAAAGTACCTTTTGCTGTAATAAATTTTTAAAAGTTTAAATATTCACTGTATAGCTTGATCCCGTGTGTATGTGGCAATTTGGCTTAGCGTATTATGTATCCATAACGTTAGTATTAGCTTAAGCTTAGGATTGCTTGGTGTGGTTTTAAAATTTTACACATAAGTATTCTTCCTCAGTATGTGCCATTCTGCAATTTGCCTTTTCAGCCTATGTTGTTTTTAAGATACACACATTTGTGCACATAGGTGTAGCTCACTTATTTAACAACAGCATCCAAACTATGAAAATGCCACAGTTTATCTAGCCTTCTATTAATAGATATTTAGACTGTTTTATTTTTTTGCATATATTTGGTCTGCTTTCAGTATGTAGTCAATTGACCACAAGTAGCACATTGTGACTAATCATGTACCTAACCATCTTATAAGGGGACACTGAACTCATAGACACAGCTAGTGTAGAAGCAAGGTGGGGTAGAAGCTGAATTCCACCCCATTCCTAAGATGTTTTCTTTTTCTGGTTAACTCTTTTTTTTTTGGTAGCGGGAATCGAACTTGGGACCTGGTGCTTGAGAGGCAGGTGGCAAAACCACTGAGCTACATCCCTGGCCCTTTCTGGTTAACTCTTATGGTCTTTTTTTAATTGCAGGCATGATTTTTGAAAGTTACTATGCTTTAAGGGTAAATCTTAAATTTAAAAAATAATTTGCTTGTTTTATTTTTTAGGTGTTTGTTTGAACTGCCAGGAAAATAGCAAAGGGGATCACTGTGAAGAATGCAAAGAAGGATTTTATCAGAGTCCTTATCCCAGTAAAAGATGTCTTCACTGTCCTTGTTCAGCAGTGACATCTACAGGCAATTGCACGATAGGTAAGAGCTTTCTCTGAATCTTCATTTCAGAGAAAGAAAACTCAACGAATCCTTCATCAGTAGTTATAAATTACATTGGTAAATCAAAATCTGAGTGCTGTAGATGAAATGGAGTTGTAAAAACAGCAAAAGGTATCCTTTCTAGGGATTTATGTGCTGATCCAAATACATATGTGAATGAGACTTAAAATACTTAAAGACCAACACAATGAGTCAATACAGGAACTTCAGGACTGAGCAACTTTTACTCATCCATTTCAAGGTAACAGTCACCAATTAGCCTTTCCAAGGTACTTACTAATGCTGAATAATTGTGTCTACATAGTAATCTTACAAAAACAGTTAATTGCCATTTATTCCTGGGATTCTAGTTATCTATTGCTCCTAACCAATTACCTTAATATATAGTGGCTTAAAACAATAAGTACTTGGGGCCAGGGATTTAGCTCAGTGGCACCTTGCCTCGCAAGGTCCTGAGTTCGATCCCCAGTACTGGAAAAAACAAACAAACAAACAAGTACTTATAATTTTACGTATTTTCTGCAAGAAATTTTGGAAAAGTTTAGCTGGACAGTCCTGGTTAGATTCTTCTTTCCCTCCATTCCATTTTAAATAGCATAATTATTGAGATGTAATTCACATTACATATAATTTATTTAAAATGTACAATTAAGTGGTTTAGTGTGCATTCAGTGTTATGCAACCATGACTACAAACAGTTTTGGAACATTTTAATCACCTGCTTCCATAAAAAAAAAAATCTTCAAAGCAAAAACAAAACGAAACCCTGTAACCATTAACAATCATTCCTATTTCCTCAAGCCTTAAGTAGAAACTAATCTACTTTTTCCTCTGTATGGATTTGCCTATTCTAAATATTTTATATAAATTGAATTATACAGTTGGGCACCCTAATGGTACACCCTTGTAATCCCAGCTACTTGGAAGACTGAGGCAGGAGGACTGCTAGTTCAAGGCCACCCTGGGCAATTTAGCAAGATCCTGTTTCAAAATAAAAAGTTTTTAAAGGGGTTGGAATATAGCTCAGTAGTAGAGTGTACTGGGTGTGATCCCCAGTACAGCAAATAAATAAATGAATAAATATATAAATAAATGGAATCCTACAATATGGGGCATTTTGTATCTGGCTCCTTTCACATAGCATAATATTTTCAAAGGTCATCCAGGTTGTAACATGTATCAATCCTTCATTCCTTCTGATTACCAAATAATAATCCATTGTATGGTTATACAGTACCACATTGTATTTATCCATTCTTTGGTTGATAGATATTTGGGTTATTTATACTTTCTAGTTATTACAAATAATGCTGCTATAAATATTTATATTCATGTTTGTGTGTATACAGGTTTCATTTCTCTTTGTTACATACCCAGGAGTAGAACTGTTGAAGAAACTATTAGTGTTTTTCAAAATGAGTGCATTCTACTTTCTCATTTTTAATAATATTGTATGAGGTTTCTAAGTTTGCCACAGCTTCACCAATGCTCATTATCTGTCTTTTTATAATTATAGCCATCCTAGTGTGTGTGAAGTGGTATTGGATTGTAGTTTTAATTTACATGTCTCTGATGACTAATTATGAGCTTATTAACCATTTGCTTATCTTCTTTAGAGAAGCTTACTATTTGCTTATCTTCTTTAGGATCTATTTAGATCCTTTGTTCATCTTACAATTAGATTATTCGTCATTGAATTGAAAGGGTTCTAGATACAAGATAGAAGTCCTTTATCAGATACATGATTTTTTGTTTGTTTGTTTGTTTTGGTTTTTTGGGGGTTTTTTTGGTACTGGGGACCAAACTCGGGACCTTGTGCTTGCGAAGCAGGCGCTGGAACCACTGAGCTAAATCCCCGGCCCAAGATACATGATTTTTAGGGGCTGGGGGTACCACTCAGTGGTAGAGTGCTTGCCTAGCATTCGCAAGGCCCTGGGTTTGATCCCCAGCACTGTGGGGATAGGTATGATTTGTAAATTTGTTTGTACCCCATTCCTTAATTTTTTGCTTTCTTAATGATGTCCTTTTCAGTACAAAAGGTTCTAATTTCAGTGAAGTTTAATGTATTTTTTCTTTTGTTTGTGTTAGCTTGGGGTTTCTCATGAGGTTGGAATCAAGGTGTTAGAAGGCCCTAGATTCAATCCTCAGTTCTGCAAAAAAAAAAAAAAAAAAAGATATCTAGGGCTTAATTAGGAGCGCACATTCTACTTTTAAGAAGGCTTACTCATATGGTTGCTGTAGACAAAAGGCTTCTATTACTTGTGTGATACGGACCTCTTCATTCAGCTATTTAAATGTCCTTACTACATGACAGCTAGCTTCCCCTGAGAGTAAGTGATCCAAGAAAGAGAAAAATGGAAGCTGTAATATATTTTGTAATCTCACCTCTGAAATCATAGAGATTTTTCACAATATCCTATTGGTTGCACATGTCTGTCTTATCCAGAGTATTCACAAGAGTGTGAATACTAGGAGGCAGGTAGCTTTAGAGGCCATCTTGAAAAGTGGCTGCTGTAGCTGGTAATGGAAACTGGCACATTTATTTTTTTTCATGGGAAGGTCTGATAGTTTTTTAAATTTATTCTACAAATAGTAATTGAGCACCTGGCTCATGCTTATCATCGTAGTAGACAAGGGATACACAGATATAAAAATAAAATATGATCCTTATTCTAAAAGTTCTGAGAGAGAGGAAAACGCAAAGAAAGCATTAGAAGTGAGATGAGTATTTATAGGATATAATGGGGCACAGAGGGAAGAGTATTACATTGTACATGAGAATGAATGTCAGGAAAATTTTCATAAAAAGGGTATTACTTGTATAACATGCTTTCTTGATTATCACCATTTATGTAGGTATATCTTAACCATTTATGATTAATTAGGAGGACTATTATTTATAGTCAGGAATATGAAAAGGTAATGTATTAACATTTAAATCTGCATCCACAATATCAGAATTCTATAGTTATTGTCTTATTTTATAAGCATATTCATTTGTTGTTATTGTCAAATAAGTTTAAGATTTTAAAACTTTATAGTAATTATAAGTAATATAGTAATTATAAATAGTGGTCCTTGGCTCACCTAGAATAGTGTTCCTTTTGAACACAGGACTTCGCTTTTGATAGTTGCTTCATAAATAACTGTTGAATTTAATATTGATAAATATTGAATTTAATATTAATAAATTTAAATTTTAGAAGCCTTCCCTATGGAGGGATGATGCTAACAAAAACAGGCTTGAAATCATTTGTTCTTGTATGCATTGTCCCAGGACTGTAAGCTCTATAAGGGCAGAAACCATGTCTAGATTTTTTTTTTTGATACTGGGGATTGAACTCAGGACCTTGTGCTTGGGAGGCAGATGTGGTGCCACTGAGCTAAATCCCCGGCTAGATTTTTAATGATTTTATCCCCATTTACAATGTTTAAGTCACTTTCCTGTCCCTGGGACAAAATACTCGACACTCACAACTTCAAGGAGGAGAGGTTTATTTTGCCTCACAGTTTTAGCGGGTTCTGTCTGTGCTTGACTGGCTCCAAGGCAGAAACAGCGTAGTAGAAAGGCAAGGTGGAGGAGAGCTGCTCACCACATGGTGGCCAAGAAGCAGAGAGAGAAGGGAGGAGTCAGGGACAAGAATACAGCCTTCCAGGTCAAGTCTCCAATGACACCCTCTTCCAACCAGGCCTCATCTCTTAACACATGAGATTTTGGGGGGACATTTTAGATCTCTACCCTAACATCCAGTAGTGTGGTTAATGCTAATAGTACATATTGCATGAGTAGAAAGGGAGGCTACTGTAACTCAGGGTAGAAAGTGATAATATGTACAAAACTAGAAGTATGAGAGCTTAGGAGAAGGAGGTTAATTTCTCATTGGGAGGTTTCAAAAAGTCTCCATAGAGCAAGTAACATTTGAACTGGATCTTGAAGAGTAGAGTGGGGATTGAGATACCTAGAAATATACCCATGTAGAGTAAATGAGAGGTCACAGCCAGACTAAATAGGGACTTGACCAGTCCAGTTTTGACTTCAAAACACATATTGTGCTCAAATGCAGGCTAGGGGTAAGATGTATCCAGCCAATTAGTTTGATGCTTTCAAAACTCACCATTTCTAGTGAAGAAACTAATGTACAAATACATGCAAGGTGCACTCTGGGTTTATGGGTAGTAGATGCTGCAGGAGAGAATAGCACCCAAGTGGGGGAATATCAGCAATGGCTTCCAAGAGGAGGTGATAGTCTTGTGATGAAAGTTGGCATTTAGTGTGTGGACAGAAGGAAAAACATTTCAGATAAAGAAATCAATAAGGACGCAAGTACAGGAATGTTAACAAAGCTGATTTGGTCAAAGAACTACTTTAGAATGGTAAAAAAAAAAAAGTATATGGGAGAACCAGGCATGGTGGCACATGCCTATACTCCTAATATACTTGGAAGGCTGAGGCAGGAGGATTGTCACAAGTTCAAGGCCAGCCAAGGCTACCTAGTGAGTTCAAGGCCACTCTGAACTACACAGTGAGATCCTGTCTCAAAAAACAAAACAAACAAAGTAACAAACAAATAAAAGCATAAGGGAGAAGGAATGAAACCCGAGACAGGGCTTTTGAATCTCGTATCATGAGATCTGGTTAGTCTGACTTGACAGACATGAAAGGTTTTCACAAACCTTGATTTTGGTCCTTCAATCTATACTGTCAGGACTTTTTTCATATTAGTTGTTATAACTATGTTGTTGAAGTGCAAAAATGCTGTAAAATATAATATCATTGTGAGCCATGAGTTTCTTGAGAACCAGGAGTACACACGTATTTCATAGAGTATTTTTCTGTATATCATTGTCTGCATGAGTTACGAATTCATTCAATTTTCACATTTTGTGACTAAAAGCAACTTAAGTATTTCTGATTTAAGCTCCTTACTTGAAACATGGAAAATTGTAGGGGCAGAGTTTAGTAAATTGACATCACACTACCAACTGGGATTGTAAATGGTAAATTAAAATTCATTATGAATTGTGCAACTGTGTGAATATACCAAAAAATTGAGTTATATACTTTAAGTAGTTTAACTATTTATAGTATGTTATATATAAAATTGTTTCTTAAAAAGCAATCGTAAAATAAATAAGAATTCATTTTTGTAAAGAGCATCAGAGATATAATGAATTGCCACAGATTTCATGACCACTATAAATTAGTCTTTCTGTAATAAAATTACTTTGTGTTCAGATAACAGCATGATTCTGTTAGTGTAATTAGTAAATTCTAAGAAAGGAACAAATCAATTTAGCAGATAAATAAAATTATGACTTATTGATTATTTAAAAATCATTTACAAATGTCTTTGAGAATCTTGATTTAAAATTATATGACAACTTAAAAAAGAAGCACATAGGTATGAGTTGGTATGTTCCCTTTACCTATGGTGAAATCATTCAGTTAGACATAAATTAAACATGTACTGTGTGTCAGGCACTACGTCAAGCATTAGAGATAAAGATGAAAAATAAATAGCTCATAGTTTAATGGGAGAGACAGACAAGTAATCCAATAATTACAATTTAGGATGATGCATGTTATAGGTAAGCATAAACTAGCCCTAATCCAAACTGAGGGAATCAAGCACAACCTTTTATGCTGCTGAGAAAAGGTGATACTGGAGTGAATTCCTGCAGTTTGAATTTGTGAGGTGGAGTAGGCGTAGGAAGGCAAGAGGATGTTCTGTGAAGAGGAAGCAGTATGTGCGAAAGCTCAGAGAGGAAAGAACAGGCAGTCTTTGAGAGTCCTCGTAAGTCTTTTAATACGCTTGAACCAGAGAGTGCTGTGGAAGGTGAAGTGAAGTGAGAAGAGTTGGGAGAAAGGGCCAAATTATGAAAGGTACTGAAAATTCTATTAAGTTTTCACCTAATCCTGAAGAGCTTTCTCTAGAGAAGTAATATGTTCAGATTTACTCTGAAGATCATAGTGAATGAAGCTTGAGAAATGGTGCTTAGTTGTTTGGCTCAGGCAAGTAGGCAGATGTTCAGAGGTGTGGAACGCTGGAAGGGAGACTTGGAAGGGAGGATGTGGAGGACAGTGTCATTCATATTAAATTTGAGATACTTGTGGATCCTAGTGCACAGGCAGTTAGTTTGTAGTTTGGAATTAAAGACAGAGAAATGGACTAGACACACACATTCTGCAATTGTCAACCGTGTGAGTGGATGAGCTCATTCATGGAGAATGAGTAGAGTGAGAAGTGAAGGAGACTAAGGATAGAAGTCTGAGACTATCAACTTTTACATAGGGAAGGCATAGAGAAAGTTTTTGTTAAGACATTTTTTATGCAACCTGCCATGTACCAAAAGGAAGGAATAAAGAATATGAGAACACCAACATATCACAATTATTTGGTCTCTGGATGTAAGCATGTTTTTATTTTACCTCTACCTGAATAGGTTTTCTGGATGACTCCATCATTCCTACAGTAAGCTGGGAAATTAGTATATAAAGGATATATTAGTTTGATTCTGTATGTCTCTTACCATACAGGAGTTGGTAAGAGAAGAGATAGTAGGGAGGGTTTATCAATCTATTTGGGAACAAACAATTATTTTTACATTTTTTATCATAGCTCGAGAATTTACATAATTATTTTGATGTTCTCTCTCTTTTAGAATTGGATGAATTGGAACCTAAATGTGTCCAGTGTAAAGATGGATATACAGGCCAGAACTGCAATAAATGTGAAAATGGCTATTACAATTCTGACAGCATCTGTATACCATGCCAATGTCATGGCCACGTGGACCCAATTAAAACTCCAAAGATTTGTAGGCCTGAGAGTGGTGAGTGTATCAACTGCCTCCATAACACCAGTGGGTTTTGGTGTGAGAACTGCCTAGAAGGTTATGTCCGAGACATCGAGAGACATTGCATCAAGAAAGGTAAAACTTCACCTGTGGTTGTAAATTTAGTATCTAAGCCTAACACTGAAAAAAATTTCAGGACGGCTACCTTTAGCTTTATAAAAACTTTCCAATCCCAGCAGAAGAGTTTCTGGAAATAGATTTTGATAGATATTTGCCTAAAGAGGTTTCCTTTCCTTTCTACTTGTCTCCTGATACTCCAAAGTCAACTCCAGAAATTTGCGGATCAAGACAAAGTCATTACAATAGTGAGACTAAGTGTTCTCAAATTTTTCTTTCATCTATTTTTATTTTTATGTTAATAACTAAAAAGTCCTGTCATTTCTTTTATCTTCTGCTTCCTTTATTCTCATCACTTCCAGTGATCATCAAAGTTCTTTTCAAGTAGGGTCCTATACTCTGGTTAGAAGTTCCAGCTGAAAAAGTGGAGTTAATTCCAACATCTTTCCTGACTTTGAGACTAAGTTGCTCTATGTGTGATGGCAAAAATAATGTTAATATTCTTTTTGATTTTTAAAAGGAAAAGTTACTCAAAGTATTTCTTATAGGGAAGTTCAGTAGGGATTTATAAGAAATTAATGATTATAAATTCAGGATAAGTTATGCATTATATATTCAGAAATTATTAGGTTACAGAGAGATTGATCCATGCATTTCTACAAACCTCTTTTTGATATGCTAACAGGTGCTGAATATTAGGCTGATGTACACTTTTTCTGTGGCAGGTGCCATCTTTCTGCCTTTTTCTTGATGTCCCTATACTGTTGTGATTGAGGCTAAAAGATTCAGATTGAGGAGCTGGGAATTTAGCTCAGTGGTTCCTCTGCCTGCCTCGCAAGCGGAAGGTCCCGAGTTTGATCCCTGGTACCGAAAAAAAAAAAAAAGATTCAGATTGAACCCTATCACTAATACACCCTGCCACTCAATTGTTTTTCCCATTTGGGAGGCATACCTTATTCATACCAAGGAACACTTTGTCCTGTGATTGGACCGTGATGATTTTTGTTAATTATTAGGTAATGTAAAGTTTGCCTCCCTTTAGAATACATTGATCTGGCTGACTGTGGTGATGAATAATAATTTCATTGAGTACCACATGCCAAGCACTGTAAGAATCAACTGTGATAATGCTGTACAGTGAGTGCATTAGCTCATTGAACTCATCATGAGGACATGAGTAGACATTATTATTCTCATTTAACAGATGAAGAACCTGAGTTTTAAAAAGATTGACTTATCTTTAGCAACACAGTTGTGAGTCCAAAGCCTTTGGTTTTCTACTGAGCTGTGCCTTCATTAAAAGTACAAAGTATACTACGTTAACTATAAAATAGCTATAATCCGTACAAAGGAAGAATTACTACATATGGAATTAAAGTAAAGCTGTTTTTTCTCTTGGATGACATCAACTTTGAGCCTTTAAATTGTATTTTTCAAATGTAGCAAAACATACAGTTTTCTGTATATCTCTTTTGAGGAGAAATTTCCCTTTATAAAATGACATAAAACGCCTTGGACTTATTTTAGTTCCAATTATTGCCATCTATCCCTGTCACTCTTAAACATGTGATTTAGAATTTAATAGTGACATATTTACTGCTTTTGAAGGAATTTTTACAACTCCATCCATGAAGGGAGGAGGATGGAAAACTCTAACACTGGAATTTTCTCAAAGATTTTAGTATAGATATTATTCACATTAGTGAACATCCATGGGTATAATAATCTGATTTTCCAGACCCTGATTCTTATCACTATGTATCTTTAAAATTATTTTTAACTTGAATTACCTTAAAGCAGAGTCCTATGTCAACATCCCATATCAACTTCCACTCCCATGTGTATTTCTTTCATTGTTTCTCAAAACTAGATAATTTTGTCTTTTACATTTCATTCTCTGTTTTTATTTTCAGAAGTTATTGTTCCAACACCTGAAGGTTCTACCATTTTGGTTTCCAATGCCTCTTTGACTACATCAGTGCCCACCCCTGTTATAAATAGTACATTTACCCCCACAACCCTGCAGACTATCTTTTCAGTAAGCTCTTCTGAAAACAGCACGTCAGCTTTAGCTGATGTGTCATGGACTCAATTTAACATCATCATTTTGACAGTCATTATCATTGTGGTTGTACTGTTAATGGGATTTGTGGGGGCTGTATACATGTACCGTGAGTACCAAAACCGGAAACTCAATGCCCCTTTTTGGACCATCGAGCTGAAAGAAGACAATATCAGTTTCAGCAGCTACCACGACAGCATTCCCAATGCCGATGTGTCAGGATTGTTGGAAGACGACGGCAATGAAGTGGCTCCCAATGGGCAACTGACCCTGACGACACCCATACATAACTACAAAGCCTAAGGAGCTAGAAGTGTTCTCCTGAATTGCTAAGCCACAGTGCTTTCTAAGACAGCTTTGGCCCCTGGGCCAGACAAAGCCTGGGTAGAGTTTGCTGAGAAAGCAAAGGCAAAAATAGTGCATCTGAAATTTTCAGGTACAAATTTGTCATGTTCTTAGCCTATCTATTGCTCTTAGTTTTCCCATGAAGATCATAAGCATTCACTGTTGTTAAGAACTTGAAGTAAAGTATATTTTTGTACCAAACTACATGGGAGTATGGAAAGGCTGAACCCCATAGTGCTGCCCAAATCCACTTTGACCTCCAAATAGACTACTGGGGAGTGTTCACCTCACCAGCGGTACCAGGATGATGGATGTGGAGGGGAAAGGACTGACTGCTGGAAGACTTCATCTCCATTCCTGAAACACATTCTTTTTTAAAGGAAGGTCAGGGATTATATTCATTTTACTGTACTAAAATGTACACATCATTAAGGAAAAGCTGGTGTCTAGGCTATATCATAATAAACAGTCTTGATTGTTTCTAGAATAAGGGCAGAAAAGTCCCAAGAAGGTCTTTAGAAGGGCTTGATTTTTCCTCTTAGGATTCTTGCTCAGTGATAGGATTAAAGTACAGGATAAAATCACAGTAGAGAGCAGAAGGCAGCATTGGGGGAGCAGGAAGCTGAAGGTCCTCCTCAGGGGCTCAGTGTAAATGATAAATTGTCTAAAAATAAGGCACATTCCTGCCTCTAAAGAAGTAAGGTGTACATAGTTAATGTAGCATATCTGGTCAATGTTGTATTTGTATCTATTTGTAAAAAACATGTCATATTTTATCATCTAGAATTTATTTGTACAGCAGTTAATGGTGTTGTAAAAAGGAAATACAGAGATTGGTTAAAATACTGTAAAATAGATGGCAATATTGCTAGAGCTGGGACTCTGGTGAGCATCCGTCATTTTTAGTCCCTCTTTGGACATTGTTAAAATTTATAAGCAGTTGAATATTTCTAATCCTTTCCTTTCTCAACCTAAAAGTAGAGTTATGTGCTCTTCGATTTACTATAGATTCAAGCAATAGGTTTTGAAGCCAGTAATTATTAAGCTGGGACACAGGCTGCATTCTCCAAAATACTCACTTAATTAGGTACTGGCCACTTGATATTTTACATAAGTTAATATAAAACATATCCTCATTAAAATATTTTTTTCTTGAATGTAAAAGATAGTCTTCCAAAGGACAGACATCTTTGAGCTCCAAAAGAAAAGCCATCATATCACTTGGGATCTCTAGTTTCCATGCCTGTGAAATGTTTATATCTTTCTCATCTCTGCTCCTAACTAGAAAACCTCCTATATTTAAACATAGCCCATCACTCATTTGCCATGAGGTGTATTCCATCTCTCTGCAGTGCTGTAGCTCTTCCACTGTCTTCTTTTTGGCTAGAGGGTAGCTCTGTAGTTGATATATAGTTAGTCCTTGCTTTTACATTCAATTTTCCACCTAAAAGTCAAGTATTCTTGCTCTCATCTATTATATTGACAGAATTGTGGAATAAGCAAGCCTAGAATGGTGGCCAGAAGTCAAATATAGATTATTTATTAAGAGGAACGGCAAACTGTGAAGTGGTTAGCAAAAAGTAAGAACTTCTTACTGGATTAGACCTAGAAATCAAGTTGACCTGTTGGCCCAACTTCCCCAGAGAAGAACCTAGAATTTGTCACCCTCTATAGGAGACCTCTAAGTTGTTCTCAGGGCTTGCATGCTGTTCTAGAGAATGCATAGACAGATAATTTGTTTCTGGTAACCTGAGGGTGCTTGCCCATTGCTCACAAGAGTAGACATTATATTATATTAAAATTATTAGCATTTCTCCTGTCCTTTGTAGTTTACAAGTCACTTTTCAGTATGTATGTTCTTTGTTTCTCATGATAGCCCCCTAAGGAAGTAATTACTCTACCCATATTATAGATGAGAAGACTGAGGCACCGAGGGGCTAAATATGTTCTTCACGGCTGCATGATGTGTGTCATAGGCTCAGAATCAGGACTCCCAACTCTGTAGCACATATGATTTTAACTATACACCTAGTGTAAAATTTGCCTAGCTATGGGCACAAATGGGCTAGGAGGAATAGTCCCATCTGTGGAACTTTCTGTAGTTTTTGTAACTCCAAGATACAATTCAGGGATAAACAGCTATGAAGAACTTCGTGGAAAGAATACAGGAAGATTAGAATCTGAAGCCAGTATTCATGATAAGAAAACAAGGCTTCCAGTTTGTGTTTTTTTAAAGTGAATCATTCCCCCAAGGAAGGAGGGAAAATTTTCTTCCTTTAGCGGTTGCTGCATAGGCATGTATAGGCCATGCACTGCAGAATTCCAAGGAATTGTGCAAAGTGGCATAGCTGCCTTTCTCCTGGACACCCTACCCCCTGAAAAAAATCAGGATTGAATTGAGGCTGGTGAGGAATAAACATTTGTTAAACAGAAGTTAACCCAATAAAGAAAAGAGGGTTGGAGTCTAAGACCCAAAGTCAAATAGTATTCTGGCCATGTAGAGATTCCTTGAAATAGACCTTAAAGAAATTGCAAAAATTGAATCACAAAGACCATTTACTTTTACATACTAATGAACAGATCCTAGGTCATAGTCTTAGTTTTTTCCAATGGAAGAAAAATTAAGGCCTTAAAACTTGTTTTGAATAATATTCTTTAATGACCCAGGGCTTTGCTTGTGGAAATTATCTTGCTCTGAAATAGAAATCAATCATGAGTTCACCTATCACTGAAATCAAACTAGAAAACTAGTCTGAAAGACTCTGCACAATATTCATTCTTCTAAAATCCCCATGAACTACAGTGTCCAGCAACAGTCCTTTAGAGATCCTACTATTAGAAGAATTTCTGTCTAAGGATTAGAAATGTGTGGTTTTTAAAAATAAGGCAATGTGAATCTTACTGAGAAATAAAATACAGTACTGCTGTTAAGTGATACTTTTATCTTCATTAATTTGTTTTAATAAGCCCATAAGCATTTCTGATAGATCCTTTACAAAGTGTTCAGTATGTCTTTGTGGCCCTTACTTCCTCCATTTCTCCACTCTACCTCTAGGGCTTTGTTATTAATGGAATTTCTCCAACTGTAGAGAAAAAATGATAATAAAGCTCCTATGGACCTAGTTTATAATTTTCTCTAGGGATACCTGGATTTTAAGAAAGGAGAACAAAGCAGACATGGGATGGGAAAAGAAAGATTTTTTTTTTGGACAGGATTTATAGAAGTCTCAGATTTTCCCAGGGTAATTGGCCATGAAAACAATACTCACTGACCTACCAGTTTGTTTTTGTCAGCTGAGCGCCTTCAAGACATTAGTCTTCCTTGTGTTGTTGTGGAAGCAGAGAGGTTAAGCAGTGGTACTTCCCTTGATACATTTAACTGAAACTGGGTTATTAGATCATTTCCCATTGGTCCCATTCTTTTTGTAGGATATCTGGTGAACATAACACCACATATACTGAATATTCCCTGGTTCTTATATTTTGGGGTATGTGAGTAGGAGTTGAATTTCTGCATCTCAATAAAACTTCTCTGACAAAATGCTCAGAGAAAGAAAAAGTAACACAGTATAACCTGTTAGGGCAAGGAAATTCTTTCTGGTCTCAGTCACAAAGAACCTTTGATCTGCTGTGATATTGATAGTAGGGAATTTGGGAGTTAAAATGGGTTTGATGTGTGTGTGTGTGTGTGTGTGTGTGTGGTAATAGAAGGTAAATTCATTTTTCTCTTTATCCCTGAGCCAGTGACTATGCCAAGGGGAAAGCAGGAAGAACACACTAATTCATCTGGAAAGGTCATATAATATCAAATGGATTAAAGGTTATGAATCATTAACACTTCAGTGATTGAATGATGCTTTTTCCAAGGCAATTGAGAATCTTATTACTTATGCATACGCAGTAACTGCATCAGCACCCATAGAATGTGAGCCCAGGGCTTCAGATTTAAGTTAGTCCAAAGACTAACTGATTCTTAAGTGAAGCATTAATGCTAGGCACAAGCACTCTGTAATAAGTTAAATTTAAGCCCAAGAAATTAGAGAATGTTTCTGAAACATTAAACTTTATTTATGTCACTAAAATTCTAACACAAATTTTAAAAATATGTCTCATACATATGCTGTACTAGGCTTCATGATACATTTCTAAATTTGTGTATGATTTGAATATATGAAAGAATTTATACAAGAGTGTTATTTAAAATTATTAATAAATGTATATAATTTGTACCTATTGTAGATTGTTGTTTTACTTTCTTATGTGGCCAGAATTGTTAGAAGTCTTTATGTATATACACATACATATACTAAAGGTCATTTATTATCAACTCATTTCCTGAAAGTCTCTGAACCCTTCATGTGTTAATCTTGTACTTTTAAGTTCATTTAAAGAATGTTTCCCACTTGGGGGGGGAAATATCACTTGAAGAATATTTCCTCTCTTCAAACAAGCAAAACTCCCAGAAGAAAACATATTAACCTATATGCTTATTGATGCTTTTGCCTGTCTCCTATGGAGTCCATTGGGATTTCCATAAAAATTTTATAGAGACGCCAGGGATTTAGCTCAGTGGTTTCGCCGCCTGCTGCGCAAGCGCAAATGACCCGAGTTTGATCCCCGGTACCAAAAAAAAAAAAAGAACTTTCTGTGGGCTGGGGATTTAGCTCAGTGGTTCCGCTCCTTGCTTTGCAAGCATAAGGTCCTGAGTTCGATCCCCAGTACCAAAAAATAAAATAAAATAAAATTTATAGAGAAATATTATTCCTTTCGGATTTCTTTTTCACACGTGTAAAAATTCCTTTCTTTAGTATAAATCTTAAAGTAAGTCATGTTCTAAGTACTTACTAGGTAACCCATAATGAGAGTACATATTTTTAATTTTAATATTTATTTATTTATTTATTTATTTATTTTTTTGGTACTGGGGATCGAACTCAGGACCCTGCGCTTGCAAGGCAGGTGGTGGCACCACTGAGATAAATCCCCAGCCCAATTTTTTTTTTTTTTTGGTACCGGGGATCAAACTCGGGTCCTTGTGCTTGCACAGCAGGCAGCAAAACCACTGAGCTAAATCCCTGGGCCCCATATTTTTTATTTTTTAAAGGTATGCTTGACTATCTTTTATTTTGATAAAGCTATACAATATTTAATGGAACACTCATCTACAAACCCAAAGGGTGCTTTGGAAAAGAAGAAAAAATAAGTCCAGCATTTGTTTGTGCTGATAGTTTTATGAACTTGAATTGATTTATTCAACTTAAGTTGATTGGTATTTAAATCTTAAAATTTGGGTTTTTTCTTGTCATACAAGAAAATAGGTTTTATAACTTTATAATTATACCTTATGTATTTATACATGTGGTTCCATGATGTATATGAATTGGGTATTATCCTAAGGGAATAGAATTAATTGTGATAAAAATCAAACAAATTAGAATTTCAAGAGAGTAAATGCATACACAAATTTACTACACCAAGAAGAAAATGTTGTTAAAATCATCATTTTATAGTATTACTTTCATACTTTTGCTGCAAATATCAAGTAAAGACATTTATTACACTGCATTATCAAAATTGATTACATTAATTTTCCATATGAGCATATGTCACATTACACATGCTCTATTATAATTAAATCAGTGACATCAAAGTAATCATTGTGCTTAGTTATATTTTTTTAAATGAGCTAAATTAAAAACAACAAAATGTTTTTCAAGAGAATACTTTTGCTTACAAAATGAAAGCCATGAACAATGTTCAACTGAAAATGTGTTGTTTGATTGTATAGATTTTAGATCTTACATTCTAAATTGCACACCACATTGCAGAGTTGCAAAAAAAATAGGCAAACTGTCTCTTTGTATATATTAAGAGTAGGTTTGGGTAATAAAGGAAGTGTTTGGGAGGAAATCTGTTTTCCTTTGTGTTGTCAGTCCAACTGCTAAAATTATATATGGCAATATTGTCTTTTTAATCTCTGCCCCAAATAAGGAAGAGTCTCAGCCCTTCCCCATATTCATTACCATTCTAATTTGATTATATTAAATTTATGTATAATTTCCTGTACATACCAGGCTATATTGTCTTTTCCCTTTTACTGATATTATTATTATTATTATTTTTTTTTTGTTACCGGGGATCGAACTCAGGACCTTGTGCTTGCAAGGCAGGCAGCGGAACCACTGAGCTAAATCCCCAGCCCTTTACTGATATTATTATTTCCTCTACCGTAACATTGTTGAGAATGTTTAGTCATCCTTTATAATCTCTTGATAAAGGAAAGTTTATAAATCTTTAATTTGTATCTCCATTTTTCCTAATGAATACTACTCTTTCTGCAGATATTTTATTGTAAATATTTTAAATTTCTGTCTTCCCCAAGATGCTGCATTCTTGAAGTCAGGAGCATTTATTGTTTTATCTCTGGTATCTAGCATATTGATGGTATGTTGTAGATGATCACTAAATAGTAATTTAAAAGGAAAGGCACTTGATACAAGAGTTGGTATATAAACTCGTTTGGTGAAGTATTGTAAGAAATCTTATATGCAGTGGGTGGGTCTGCTATGTTTGGTCCCACAGAGATGTGTGCTGAAGGTCTGTGTCCTACCATGACAATGCTGAGGTGGTGGAACCTTTAAGAAATGGAGTGTAGCCGGGGATGTAGCTCAGTGGTTCCGGTGCCTGCCTCACAAGTGCAAGGTCCCAAGTTTGATCCCTGGTACCAAAAAAAAAAAAAGAAAAAAGAAAGAAATGGAGTGTAGCCAGAGGTAATTAGGTCTTAAGATGGATTGATGCTTTTCTCAAGGGAATGTGTTCCTGCTCTCATAGGAAGTCCCAAAAAAGTGGGTTGTTGTAAGTGAGGCTGGCTCTCCCCTGAATTCCTTTTCCACCTGTCCTGCTTGTCATTTTCAAACACACTCCTGCCATTGTTATGCCATCCACTTTGAGACCCTCACCAGAGCCCAGTAGATATTGGCGCCATGTTCTTGAATCTCCAGAATCGTGATCTAAATGAAATACAGGCCTCAGATATTTTGTTACAGCAATGCAAATTGGAGCAAATGAAAGATAGTATTTGTTATTCAAAGAGGTATCAACATATAGGCTTCAAAGAGTCTGAGAAAGCCTTGAAAGTGTATGTTGTTTTGTTTGTGAATGAAATTGTGTCTTTTTTTTTTTCCTGGTGAGAGAAACTATACTTTTAATCATAGTCTCAAAAGGATTAACAGCTTGGATGGGAATTATTTCATGGTTTTTCAGCAATAAAAACCCTCTCATTGAATGTGAATTGGTATAGTTGGTAAGTTGGTCTTTGTTCAAAAAAATTCACTTCTGGGAATCCTTCATAAGAAAATGACCTAAAAAGCAAAGTCTTATGCACAAAAAATATTTTCTTTTCCAGAGTTGTGTATAGAGTTGCAAAAAGTAGGCACAAATTCTAGATGTTTGACAATCAGGATGTAGTTTAATGCATATGCTTTTTGAGATAATACACATTCATTAAGAAATATTAGGAAGAATTATTAAAAACAGAAAAATGGGGCATTTGAAGATGTATATGGAATTCTACTCCTGGCATATAGTTTAAAGAAACTTTTATGTATTTGAACCAGAAGTTATATTTCAAATTCTTCATTGCACCATTATTTGTTACAGCACAATAATTGGAGAGAGCCTAAATGTCTTGTCAGTAGAAGGATGGATAGATTGTGGTGTATTCATATACTTTGACAAGAATTTTATGCAGTAATGAAAAATGCATAAATCATAGCTATATTCATCAATATGGATGAATCTCAAAAACAATGCTGAGCAAAAAAGGCAAGTCACAGAGAATATATACAGTATAATTTACATGAAAGAAAAAAATGAGAAATAGAATATGTTGTTTAGAAATGCATTTGAGTGTCCCGTAAATAAAAACAGGGGAAT